AATTCGTAAGGAGGGATGTTCGTAACTAGAGGTACCCCTGTAACTATTAACTTAGATATCTGATGGTATTCATTAAGGCTATGCATTTTTAGGACAGAAACATTACTTGCAAATAAAAAAAGTTGTGGAACCAAAATATGCTTGGGGTCCAAACTATAATGCCTCCATAACATTTTATTTATCAGATAAGTCATCTACATCCAATTCTCCTAGTAAACCTAATTAATTTTCATACGTGATACTCATTTACATGGTACTTTTATTACAACTCCCCTATTTGCCTCCAAATCCTATTAGACTAAAAATCATTTTTATTCTTACAGATTAACTGAAAAATAAATTATTAGAACTTCCAGTATATAGGCCCAGGGAACAATTACCTCCTCCTTCCCGTTGTGGTTTCAACACAAATCGATCTGGATCAGCAAGAGCCATGGCAACCATCTTATCACCCGCTTCATCCTGGAAGAAGAGAAGAGCGCTGCAATGTAGCCATACCAAATGCTTAACCTTGGCTTCTAACAACAAAATTTCACTATACATTAAAGATATATAACAGCCCTAGAAAAAAATTAAGGTTCACAATTTATCAAAAGATTTTATTAAAGGTATATATTTTAAATATATTATCACCATTATGGTTTCTGATTTTGCACTGTATTATAGCCCTGTATATATTCAGTGTACATCTCCTACAACACACTGCTACTTACCATTTCCAAGGAATAGAGACCTGTGAATGTTGCTCTTAATCGAGCCACTGCCTCTGGTTCATTTGGCAAGAATCTTTCCAGGACTCCTGGCTGGCTCAGCTCCTGCTGAACTTTTTTGGTTCCAGCAAGCTGTGTAGCTATATCAGGGCACTTAACTGCTCTGGATTTTTCCAGTAATAACCGTGCTTCCCAGTTCTTAAAATGAACAGAATAATCTCAGTGCAGATTCTTTTGTAACATATAATATTCAAAAAATTTTATTGCACAACAGTCATATATCTTACAGTTGAAGAAACTGATACTGGCTATGATCCAAAGACTATCTTCTACTTATATGTTCTTTTTTCCCCTTGCATCTGTAGCCCCTGCAATAAACTCCTAACAAAGAGAAGCTCTTCAGAGCATTACTCCATGAAGACTGCAGGGAAAAGGCAAAATTAGCATGTCTCTACAGAATCCTTTAGAATGAAACTGATAAAATCATGATAAAATTATGTGTACATCGCTACTGTTTAATCAGATAAAAAGAAAACATAAGACAACCTTCTGGATACCTGAATATCAGCAAAAGAAATGCATAAAAATATCTGTGCTTATCCACTGAAACTGCCAGCCTGCATTTGACATGTCAGCCAAAAGCACCACTGCTATTAAACTTACAAAGTAATTCCTCCCCCTCTCCCAACTGAAATCACTTCAGTGCTTTGTCATTGTTTTCTGAATACTTTAGAAAGGCATCGTTATAAGCATCTTAGCAATGTTTATTGAAGTAGCAATGAGCTATGTGAATAGGTTCAGAGAAAGAGAGCCAACTGCCATAGGAAGAACTGAATAATTTTCAGTGAATTTATTTCATAACTTGTGGACCAAACTCTGTTTAGGAAAATTTCATTTTAAATGTATACAAGACTTCTGCATTATTTCTATTTAATTGTTATATGATTTACATTATTGTAATTCATCCTGAAATAGTCCTTAAAATAAATTATACCTTATGCCTAGCCATTAAAGATGATGACAGTAGTACTAACCTGTTCGTTATAACTCCTTGGCACGTAGCCTTCCCTATAGTATACCACTGCTATTTCCTCCCCATCTCTGGAACAGAGAGCAAATCTGTCAGCACTTTCCTCCCTTGTTTTTTTATCCCTCAAACATTCTCATATTCTCCCTCTCTCTCTGTCTCTCTGTCTCCCTCTCTCTCTCACACACACACAGAAACATTGCAACACATTCTATTCATATGTAGTAGATTTCTATTGATTTTGAATGTTTTGATTACATCTTGAAGGATTTTCAAAATGGCAAGACAGTCATTCACCTTGATCTTTGAACACACACTCTTCATTTCCAAGAATACTAATGTACCCCTTCATTAGCTACTTATTAAGAGAGTTATTTCACATATCCAGTTGCAAACAATTTTCAGATCGTATTCTGGTGATCATGTGAACATTTCCAAATACCTGATACTAGTTTTTATTTTTAACAAATGCAACACAAATACTTTGTAGTGCTGCTTAGTAACGAATATTGTAAGTGGCAGATATGTGAAAATATCCTTAAACTCACATACCAACTATCCATGCCCTAAGCTAACATTTCTGTTTAATCCCTGCTTAACAGGGATTGCTTTTCTATGATGCTGTGAGAGTCATGACCGGGAGAGAGAATTATGAAATTCCTATGAGGGGTGCCATTAGACTTTTTTTTTCTGGCTGAGAGAGTTACTGCCCTATGCCAACGACAAAGGCCACTTTCCATGTTGTGAGGAAAGGCCCTTGGAAAATGAGACACTGCAAAGAAACCTGCTGGCCTTTTCGTGCTATGGAAAATGGTAGTTAAAGAGAGGCTAACAGAGCTCTTCACAGTTGTGGCAGGGTTACCACTTTGCTTTAACAAAACTTTTCTGAACATAACATTATAGGCTGAATGTAGGCAAGGATGTCTTCCACTTAAGATAATTAATATCTTATATGACTACTAGTGTTTAACGGCATTCAGGGGGTAGATCTATGGACAATACTTACATATGCAGTTTGTTTTCACTGTCCAAAGATGCTTTTTCAAACACATCTTTAAAACTTCTTCGGATCACCCTGATATTCCTTAGGATGCAAGAAAGACACAAAGAATTGTAATTTTAAACAGAAACCAACCACCCGCAAGTAAAATGGGGGTTCCATTTTATGTGGAACTAATGCAGAAGCTTTGCTTGCTCAAAATGCAGCAGCCAGAGGGATGCCAAATTTTGGGGTTAGACAGTTTTCATCCAGGAGTTCTTTGAGAAATCAAATGTATCATAGCTGATTTAACAAAAATATTTAATATAGCTGAATGATCAACATCTCTGTTAGAGGATTGGAAAGTATCTAAACTAGCATCAGTCTTCAAAAAGGTATGGTCTGCTTAATAATATTTTATTTAATAATACTTTGGGGGAAAATATTATTAAATATAAAAATCTCAAGCATACCAAAAGACAAGATTGCTGCTGAAGAATCAGAACAGCTTCTGTAAAAGTAATTCTGGCCCCATTTATCTTTTACAATTAATGGGGTGTAGGGGGAACATCAAAGAGAAGACATCTGTATTACAAGGAGGAACAGAGTGTTGGTCTACTGATTATTAATATGCTTCATTTGATAACAAATAGATACGGCTATTATTGGGTTAAGTTTCACTTGGCCTGCATCAATGATATAGCTCTGCATTAGCCAGCCTTCATGATCTTTTCACTTATTTGGAATGATTTTACTTGGGGTCAGGATGAGCTTGGTTGGGGAGGGGATTGCCTGGCAACCCTAGCAGTGTGGGTTGACCTCAATATGTTGATCTTAACATTGAACATCACTTGATAATGCTCTCTCAGCATGAACAGCACTGGTTTTTTATATGCTTTTCTCTTAAACATCAGTGCCTATTATTTTTTGTATTAGACATCTGATATAAACTGGACTAATAAAAAAAAATATGATTTAGTTAAGCCTTGAGCCACAGCTGCTGAGGAGGATGTTCTGTGGCCATGTGGCAGCACTGATTGTCCCAAGGGCTACATTCAGCTACCATGGACTACATTGGGGCTCCTGGTAGCTGAGAAGTGGCATAAAACTTCATCTCTCTTTCCTTATTAATAAAATCCATGTATGCATTAGCACCACAGAGCATACATTTTTTCTAGTTCTGAAACAGAACAAAAAGTAATTAAAAAGTTTTGCACAGCAAAACCAAATGGCAGAGTTAGCAGAATTCAAGCTGGAAAATGCAACAGCTGTTTGTGTAGAAGGAAGAAGACTCTTCTGGGATAGGAAACAGTTAAAATTCTGGGACTGCCTATCAACTCAACATACTTACTGGTATTGCTCTGAATTCCAAAATCAAACTTGGAACAAGACAATAGCAAACCATGTCTGTATTTTTTACAAGAAAACGTATGGAGAGCTGCTATGTGTAAGACAGTAAAGTTACTAAAATGATCATGCCTTAGATTTTGGAAGAAGGGGATACTGGCTGTTTTCCTTTTTAAGTTTTTTTCAGATCAGTTTCTTAGTGGCTTACTTCCCACATTTGGTAGTGCATTTCCTGGAGCTAGAAAAAAAGAGTTTAGAATTTGCATGAGACTGTGAGTTTCCCAGCCCTATTTTAATAGTTTAAAAGTTTGAAGATTTACCTTCAAAATTTATTTTAAGGAACCAGATATTAATGATGTCAACTTTCAGGGAATTAATTTAATAGCAGAGATATGTTTGAAGTATTTAAATTTGAAACATCCCATTTCAAGTCCAAAACCCTGCCACCTCAAATGTAAAACAGCTGTTTCAAGTACAAAACAGGGCTGTTTGGGGCATTTAAAAAAGTGTACCTAGATCAAAAACAGGAATTGTTTCAAACTCAAAACACTTTTATAGAAAAATACTGAAAGAAGTCCATTTTTCACTCATGCTGCCATTCAAATTCAAATTCAAGTATGATTCACTCTCAAAGTATTTCAAATTTGAAGCATTCAGCTTGAGACATTTTGCCCAGCACTATGGAATAGGATTGTCTGAAATACCTCATCCTAATTATATGAGACTGTTACCTCATCCATAGTACATTTTCTATACAGCGTTGGTCAAAAATATTCCTCTGAGCCTCTTCAACCAGAAACATCACCACTGCGCTGAAATAAAAATACAATATGTACCAACTTGTGAGCATTAGCTGGTGTTCTAATTTTGAAATACATATTTAATATTTATTATATATTATGTAACATCCAGAAACAGGGATTGGTAATCTGTAAGAATACACAGGCAAAGTGTGCTGCTACACATTCAGTGCTATGGTCCCAGGAACAGTGCAACTTTTTATATTTTTTAAAAAAGGTAATATAAGAAAACAGATGTATTAAGCCTGAGCTAGACTTGATATACCAACTTTCCTTAAAAAAAAATAATAATCCAACTCTTCCCAAACAAGAGGAAAAATTAATGGGTTCCACCCCTCCAGTAGTATCAGTCCCATACTTCCTGCAGCCCTTAGATTCCTCAGCCTTTTAAAAAATTATTTTTGCCAACCACAAAAAGGAATCTGGCAAAAATAATCTCCACTTCATATGCTACTTATGTATACATAATCTCAATCTTTATGTACCACATGATCCTCTAGGGGGTTTGGGATGGTTTCCTATTTGTCTCTCTGCTTACTTTATGGTTGTCTGCCCTTTACATACTATTCATATTTGCCTGGCCCCTCTCCACTTCCTGCTTATTCCCACTGATTTATTGCAGCTCCAGCCATAGGCCTCTGTTACTGTTGCCAATATTCTGCTGGCTGCCTTTAGATCTTCTTGCCTTCAATTATGCTTTCAAAGATGAGAAAAAGATCACAATCACTAGCATTCATGGACTATTGCAATGCACTCTGCACGGAGCTGTCCTTGAAGGCCACTTGGAAGCTGCAGCTGGTCTAGAATATGGCAAAATTGGCAGTAATTGGCATGCCATGATATGCCCATGTTAACACTACTGCTCTGCAAGCTGCACTGGTTCCTAGTTGGCTTCCAGGTGCAATTCAAGATTACCACCTATAAAATCATTCATTACATAGGGCCAGGTTATTTGAGAATTGCCTATCCTCCAATTGTTTCTGCTCATCCAGTGAGATCAGGCACAGTGGGTGTGCTTTGGGTCCCTTCAATTAAACCTAGGAAGCATGCCTTCTCTGTCACAGTTCCTGCCCTCTGGAACAGCACTCCCCCTAGAGATCTGTATGTCTCCCAACCTGATGACGTTCAGAAAACCACTGAAAACTTGGCTGTTCTCCTAGGCCTTGGGCAGGATGGTGGTTGAGCCTTTGTAGAATATTTTATTTGTTATAGAGAGTCTGACTTCTGGAGGCAGATGATCTGTCTTTAGTTTTTATTGTTCCTGATTTTTTAAATGTAAGCCACCCAGAATTGTTTGGAATTGGGCAGCCCTTAAATTGTATTAACTAAATAAATATAAATAAGTCAATATACTTTATAGGAATATATGGTTTTCTAAAATTTAATAAAAATATCACAGGTTGAAAAAGAAATTCAAGTTTTAAAATAGGTTTCATTCCATTATAAATCATTTTCCAGAACTGCTGAGCTTTACAGCACTGCCACCATATATAAAAGAATGATCCAAACTGGTCAATACATTTCCAACAATTTTTAGAAAATGAATTGTCCATTTTAGCGATTAGGACTGGGGTAATATAACAACAATAAAATATCTTATACCAGTTTTCTCGAAGTGAAATGTTTGGGGTAAATTTAATGTTCTTCTTCCATATAAATTATTTTTGTTGCATATCTATTACTACATTTAAAATCTGCATCCATTTAAACATACAATGTTTGTTTTCTGAATCATATTTCACCAACAATTTGTAAATAAAGCCTAGCAAATATTGTGTTATAACATGTTTTGTGTTATAAGATTTTCAATTTTAGTCAAATCTTCACAAATTTTTCCTGGTTTCTGTAGTTCTTTTAATATTACACTACTTATTTGAAAATACTGAAACCAGTCAGATAGGTAACTGTGAAGTCAGAGTCTCAGAAGATTTCACTTTTGTCCTACTAATAATCAAATCTTGTAATCTATATAAATTATCTCTTCACTGAGCAAATTTCTTTGTACTTTCCTCTTCATGAAAATAAACATTTAATAACAAAGCAAGAGAGGATAAATCTGGATTGATTATTTTCCTGTATTTATCTCAAACTTTCAATACTCTGCTTATTATTTAATGAACTTATGATACATTTTTTTCCAGATACTGTACTATCCCTGAGGTGAAGCAGAGAACTGTGAAGAATAAGTTGTGGAATGCTCTATTTGGAGAAATATGCCTGATGTTTATTTAGTAGCAAATAAAGATATTTTATTCTTCCAGTTTGTTTTTACTAGTATTGATTTTGATTTTATTATATAAACATTATTTATTCTGTCAATACTTTCAACAATTACAAAACATAAAAATTTTAGTTATAAAAATTTTGTTATAAAAAATTTAACAAATAAATTAACCTCCATCACCGTCCAAGGAAGAATAAAGTATAGGAAGAATCAGTACAACTTTCTAATAATTAAAAAGTTGATAAAGATGGTCAGTATTACTGGAATAATGCTAAATAAACAGAAGTAGGCCCTAAGAACTGTGAGGACATATATGACATTTTCTTATATACCTAGAGTATATATTTGAAAATATTTAAATAAATAAGAAATGAAAACCAGTTCCAGTATTAATGGTTCCATTTTTTCCCCAAAGACTTTTCTGTTGCAATTTTTCCATCTTATAAAATGTGAGCATGTGAGTTTGTTCATATGCAAGTAATGCTGAAATACAAGGATACAAAAGGCAATGAGAAAAGTCAAAATTAAATGAGAGAACTGCAGTAGAAGGGAAAGATATAGCTATATCTTTCAGGATTCCTAAAACTTCACATTAGACAAATATGTGCCCCAAACCTCAGTTATTCATATAAATAACACACACGGCTATGCAGATATTTTACAAGCCACTTATCTTACCTATCTGAGTCATAGAGTTCCCAAGCTCTTGCAATGCCCATAGCAATCCCTTTGGATGGATTATTGGAAAGCAATTTTGAGGCTTCCTTTGATTTCCCCAAAACATTCAGCACATGCCTATACATATATATAGAAGTAATAAAATGATTGAGAACATACAACTGTCAAGACAAAGCTGTTAGAGAGATAAAAGACCTAAACCCTTTCTGAAACACACACTGTAAGCATATATGCACTTATATACAAAACATTTTCACTTGCAAAATAAAAGCAAGCAGGGACAGATTATCATTGCCATATATTTTGTAGTCAAAGCAATTTATTCAAGGGTGCCATTAATAAATGTCACTATAAAGTACATTCTGAACTTGGCAACAGATTTTATCAGAGAAAACCACCACCACCCCCAAAACTGGCAGGGCAAGCTACTGTATATAAACAGAGAGCAAACCCCACACTCATCAGCACTGATGATATTACCTAGATGGGTAATGAAACACCTACAGGCAAACAACCAAGTTCAGAGAGCACCATGGACTCACAGTTCAACCCTGAGCTACATATCTTTCCTTGTGTAGGAACAGGTTTTAAATATCTGAAACTTTCTGAAAATTATATAACAAGGATTTGCTTGTCTTTTGTAACTGCACCTTACAAGTGCAGAAACAATAATTCAGGGCAGAATTCAAGTTCCTAAGAAGCTCAGCTTTCTTTTTTATTTTCAGTAAAAACAAGCAAGTGTGGAGAACCAATTTATTCATCATATCAATGGTTAGAAGGGATTCAGAATTCTATGCTGATGCCTTTACACTTGCAGTGGAAATATACCAAGAGAAGGGACCTCCGCCATGATGCCTAATATACTGGATGGGCAATGAGGCCACAAATAGGTTGTTGAATGGATGAGGAGGAGGTAGCTTTGGATTCAAGATGCTGTATTCCCTTAGATGGGCCTTCATATAGGCATTTCAACTATCCTTTTCCCATACACTTCTGCTCTGTCTGAGCCAGCCAAAATGTTAGTAATAACTGATATTTTTTAAGTAGCCTTAAAATAAGAGTTGAAAGTTTGGTGGATGAAATCATCAAAAGTGAAGGGCAAATCTTCAGAATTTTGCATAGCTTTCTACCATCCCTATTACAGCAGAATACAACAGACCAATAGTAACACACTCACAAGCAAGCAAAGGGTAGAATTCCAGTCAAAATTTGCTCTGCTAAAATCATACACAGTGGAAGAACCCAGTCTGCTGGCAACCTTACCGATGTACTGTAGTGGTTCGAGATGTGAGGCCTCCAAAGCTTGCAGCAATGGTATTTATTTCTACTTGTTTTAGAGCTGGAGAACCATCTGCACCATAGTCAAACATGTAATCAGAGCGATTGATTCCTAAAAACACTGACTAAGTAAGACATAAACATAGCAGAAGCTATAGTGGCAAGTATTCCAAAAGGAGAATTACTCTGCATTATTATCCATCATATGAAGTTTATTTATTGACTGCACTCAGCACTTAACCACAAGATAATCCACATGATAGCTGTTCTGATTCTAGGTTCATGTTTCCATAGGGACTGACTACCAAGGGAAGTTTTAAGGAAGAAAATTTCTATTGGCAGTAGGGTGAAGCTAGGGTTAGGGTTAGGTTTCCATGGGGTTGGTTGATATAAATGATTACTTTTAACTGGAGATAAGCTTTAAGGTGAGCTTTTATTTATTTGTCAAATTTATATGGCTGCCCATTTCACATGAAGTGACTCTGGGTGGCGTACAATAAAACCTATTATTAAAACATACAACAAAATCAATTAAAAGCGATTAAAATAGTAAACATAGATAAAAACAAAACCACAAGCGGGAGAATATCACACATAATACAGTGAACTTGAGGGCTCCCTACCATCAGGGGATCCCCAGGCTTGCTGGAAAAAGCACGTTTTAAGGGCTTTCTGGAAGGCAATAAGGGTTGGGACTATCCTCACCTTGGGAGGGATGATGTTCCAGAGGGCTGGTGCCATGGCAGAAAAGGCTCGCCTCTTAAGCCCCGTCAGATGGATCTCTTTCGCAGACGGGACCCGCAGCATGGGGTAGATGTAATTGGGAAAAGACGGTCCCTCAGATAACATGGCCCCATGCCATGTAGGGCTTTAAAGGTCAAAAAAATTGGACCCAGAAGCAAACTGGCAACCGGTGCAGCTCACGAAGCAGAGATGTAAAGTGTGTCCTCTTAGGGGAATATATAACTGCCCATGCCACTGCATTTTGCTCCAGTTGAAGCTTCTGGATACTCTTCAAGGGCAGCGCCATGTAGAGCGCATTACAATAGCCTATACGGGAAGTGACTAGGGCATGAGTAACTATGAGCAGAGCCTCACAATCCAGGAATGGGTGCAAGTGGCACAGAATATGAAGTTGTGCAAAGGCCCTCCTGGCCACAGCTGCCACCTCCTCCTTGAGCAGGAGTCATGAGTTCAGATGGAGTGGAACTGCCCCAGATTGCGAGCTGTGCCTGTCTGGGGCTGTGCCATTCCATCCAGTACTAAAGATGGTAAAATTCTAGATCTGGAAGGCCCTAAAACCCAAAGCCACTCAGTCTTGCTGGGGTTCAGTTGAAGCCTCTTGTTCCCCATCCAGACCCCTACAGCCTCCAAGCACTGGGACGGGACATCCATAGCATCACTTAATTTACCAGGGAAAGAAAGATATAATTTAGTATAATCAGCATACTGATGATACCTCACCCCATGGTGACGGATGATCTCCCCCAATGGTTTATTGTAGATGTTGAATGGGAATGGAGACAGCACCGAACCCTGCGGCAACCCACACAGTAGGGACTGAGGGTGGGATCTCTCACTCCTGATCAACACTGACTGCTATTGGCCCCTGAGGAAGAGAACCAGCACAATACTGTGCCACCCACTCCCAATACTCAGAGCCGATCCAAAAAGATACCAGGGTTGATGGTACTGAAAGCCACCAAGAGGTCAAGGAGGGCCAGGATGGGTGCACTATCCCCATCCTGCTCCCACCAGAGATCATCCAAAAGTGTGATCAATGCCATTTCTGTCCCATGTCCAGGCCCGAATCCTGACTGAAAGGGGTCCAGATAATTTGCTTCATCCAGGGTCGCTGAAGTTGCTGAGCAACCACCTTCTCCACAACCTTCCCCAAAAAAGGGAGGCTTGACACTGGATGAAAACTGTCCAATATGGTGGGATCTAGCAGTGGCTTCTTGAGAAGGGGGTGAACCAACACCTCCTTAAGAGATGAAGGAACCACCCTGTCTCCCAAGGATTAATTATCGACCACCAGAACCCAGCCACATGTCCTCTCTTGGGTGGCCTTACCCACCCAGGAGGGGCATGGATCTAAGGAGGCTGAGCTCAGTCATAAGGACCCTGTCTGCTTCCTCAGGCCCAACAGGTTCAAACCATTCCCAGATAATACAGCAAGACTGTGACAGACATCTCCACTGGACCTGTACCAAAGCTGGCATCTAACTGGGAATGAATTCAAGCAATTTTGTCCAATAGATGCTCTGAAAATTCTTCTGCCCAGCCTTGCAGATGAATCTCCGAGTTCCCCTTGCCTAAAATGGCTCATGTCATCTGAAACAATGTCTCTGGATGGCAATCTGCGGATGCAATAAGGGTTGAGAAGTATTGTCACTTCACTGCCCTTACCGCCACAAGGTAGGCCCTAACAGCAGCTCTTACCCATGTTTGATCAAGTTAATCCTTCATTGACCTCCAACAGTGCTGTACATATCTCTTTTGCCATTTCATTTCCCTCAGCAGCTCCGTAAACCACGGAGAGCAACGGGATCCACAGGGAAGGAGAGATTGCATGGGCGCAATCCAATTGCTACCTTCCCTGCTGGCTTCCCACAACCAAAGTCAATGGGGAAGTCGGCAGGAAGTCAGAAGTTGTGATCATGTGAGATACTTGCTTAACAACCCGCAGTGATTCGCTCAATGATGGTAACTGGGGACAGCCAGGACTGCCATAGCTAAGTGGCAGAGTCATGTGACATTCTGCTTTGTGACTGCATCACTTAGCAATGGAAATTCCAGTCCCAATTACTGTCGTTAAGCAAGGACTACCTGTACTCTTGTTATGATAGGGACTGCCTGACATGGTAACTTTTACGGTATAATTTCTATTGGCCATAAGGTAAAACAATGGTTACAGTTAGGTTTCCTTATGCTTTAGAGTTACATTTATTGGGAAGATTATTTGTTGAGTGAATGTTTACCATTAGTAGTAGCCTTATATTTATGTTATGATAGGAACTGTTTACTAGTAAAAAATTTAAGTTAAAAATTTGTATTGACAGGCATGTGAGAAGTTAGAGTGAGGGTTAGGGACATCTTGGGCTCATTTTCATGGAAGATTAGCTTTATGCTGATTTATACCAAGTAGTAACATTAGATTTATGTTACATGCCTGCCAAGGTAACTGTTAGAGTAAAAAAAATTACCACTAGGGTGAAGGTAGAGTAGGTTTCCTTGAGGTCCAAGATTATATTTAATGGGTGGGTTAGACTGATCCTCCCTCCCTCCCTGATATTTATATAGTTGCCTAACTCACAAACATAACTCTGGGCGGCGTTGGGGTGAGTCTTTATTATTATTGATATTTTTAAGTTTAACGCTATGATAAGGATTCCTTGTCAGGAATATGTCAGTAGCTTTAGCAGCTTTCATGAAATACCTGAGCCATTCCTTCTTTCAAAACCTGCTTGTAAATTTTAAAAAGCTGAGCTGTAAAGTCATCCACTTTAATGATACTAGGAAGAAACAGAAAAGAGAGATCATATATAGAATTCAAACATACTGTAAAAATACAATAATAATCTAAAACCACTTTAAAAGACACAAAATAACACTGAAAGTTTCAGTTCTCCAGAATTCTTCACGAGATAGGGGCAGAGAAGTCCAAACATTAGACCAAATATTTTAGAGTGATGTTTCTTTTCCCATAACCTTTTCTAATATATTTGTGGAATACAGATGCTCATTATATAAAAAAATAGGTTAGCAGAGAGAGATCTTGAGTGAGCCTACCTTTTTAAAAAATTTATATCATATTAGTAAAATAATAATTATTATTAGGAAGATTTTTTGTCATCAATTTTTCATCAATTTACTGTATGGCTGAGTGAATTTTTTAAAAAATCCAGCTCTTCATATTTCTGATGCTACTTGGACCTCCAGCAGCAATTTATATGCAAAAAGAAAAACCCAAAATGTATATATGAATTTTCGGCATACAGATTGATAATGCATGGGAATTCACATTGTATATTTCCAACTGTCATGTAACTACTAGAATCATAAGACCATTCTCATGAAAAAGTATCGCAGTCTTGGAATCATGAATGTCATATAGTGTTTAAACATGACAGGACATGAAATATAGTGCTGGTTGATACTTACTTAAAAGTAAATAAATTACGTTTCCTTAGTTTCCCAGTCATTTCCAAACAAATGCCATCAGAATAAAATAGGCAGAGAGAAGAGCCTGATGTAAACAATTAGGAAGTATGCATGAATGTTCCTTCACATTCCACTAAACCAATTTTAATACAGGTTGTCCTCACTTAACGACCATAATTGGGACTGGCAACTCTGTTACTAAGGGACGTGGTGGTTAAGTGAAACATCACATGACTGTGCCCAACTTATGTCAGTTCCACTACAGTCATTAAGTGAATCACCCACAGTCGTTAAGTGCAATATCATGTGAACATGACTTGTGACTTACTGCCGGCTTCTCCACTGACTTTGCTTGTCAGAAGCTGGCTGTGAAGCTTACAAATGGTGATCACATGACCACAGACACTGTGACTGTTGTAAATGTGTATGGGTTTCGAAGCGCCCAAATCGTGATCACATGACCGTGGGGACACTGCAATGGTTGTAAGTTCAAGGACCAGACATAAAGCTACTTTTTCAGCGCTGTTGTAAGTTTGAATGGTCGCTAAACAGGGCAGTCATTAACCAAGGACTATCTGTACAAACATATTTCCATCAACTATGGAAATTGAAATTAAAATACTTTTTTTTCCTTAATATGCAAAAGGCAGACATACCTGGCAAGAGTGCATTCCAGGAATTCTGTATCCTGGCTAACTTTATCCACCAGCAGGTTAAAGTCTTGCTGAATGGAATAGGCTTGTTCAAGCAGATCTTTTGGTACTTCAGATGGGAGCAGTGTAAAGGGTGCATAATTCACTACCTGTTAATAAGAGAACAGCAATGGGTATGCCAACTCATTCCCTTTGAACAAGCAACCAAATGAAACTCTTTTAAATCTTTAAAGCATACTGGAATTATGTAGGGGAGGCAACTCATTACAGCAGAATTATACTGACAATATTATGTACTTTCAGAAGCAGAGCTTTCATGGAAACAACAGTGTTCCACAAATGATGTAGCTACAAAGGAAAGGCAAATAGGAGCAAATGAAAGAAACAGAGCTTTCCATGTATGTTGCGTCACTTTGGCCTGCTTGCTCGCATTGGGTTACTACTTGCTGCCAGATTTGTTAATATTACTATATGTGAAATAATCACATGGAGGCAAATTACTGCAAACTTTGCTTTACGTGCAGATAATTGTCAGCCATTTTCATTGACCAATATATGGCTGAATTTCTCTACCCACTTATGTTTGCAAGTATCTAATTGCACAAAGAATGATTAGCAGAAGATGAGCAGTACAAATGATTAACAAATGTAAAATGTTATGAATGTCTACTGAACAAACATGCAAAAATCAACCCAAGAATAAAGGACACATAACTACAGGTAGTCCTCACTTAACAACCATTTGTTTAGCGACCGCTCAAAGTTATGACAGCACTAAATTGACTTACGACCGGTGTCCAAAGTTACGACCGTTGCAGTACCTCCATGGCCACAATCGCGATCCAGATGCTTAGCAACCAGCTCGCATTTATGATGGTTGCAGCATCCTGGGGTCATGTGATCGTCATTTGCAACCTTCCCAGCCAGCTTCCAGCAAATAAAATCAATGGGAAATCCCATGATTCACTTAATGACCATGGGATTTACTTAACAATTGTAGTAATTCACTTAATGACCACCGCAAAAAAGATCATAAAATTGGGTCCGGTCACATGATGGTTCGCTTAATGACTGCATCATTTAGTGACCTAAATTCCAGTCCCAATTGTGGTTGTTAAGTGAGGACTACCTATAGTAAAGTTTTATCACATTACTGAGTTTATTTATACAACTGCATATATAACAATGTATCATATAGTTACTTGAACTGAATGATACATGCAATAAACTAATAGCTACCTTTCTATATAATATTCTGTATCAGTTCACACCATTCTTTGTCTTTATGGTTCTACCCATATATGCCAGCAAGCCAGAATCATAATGCATGATGCTTTATCAGTGAACAGGTTTTATTGATGAAACTGGGATGAAAGCAGGAATTAATGCCCTCTCACACTAAAATAAATTCATTTTCTTTAAACAGAACAAACTTTATTTGATTTTTTAAAATAGTTTCACGTTGGATGCTACAGTTGTTAGAGGGTATAAATGTAGGTAAATGACTATTAAACAATACTACAACACTGCCACAATAACTTGTCTCAATACCTGTCAGCTATGCACGGAGAAGTATGTGGTGCTGAAAAGGTTTTGTAACATGAATTCTAGTTTTGAACTTACATCAGAAACAGTGGGGTCATCTTTAGTCCTCATTAGAACACCTTCAAGTAGTGCTACATCTATTGCAATTGGAGCCACATACTGAATGAGCTGGACATTCTGCAAAATATCTTTCCAAAGCGCAGTCATTGCAAAGACTGAAAAAGTAAACATGATAAAATTCTAAAAATGATACACACACACACACACACACACACACTACCAAGATCGTGTGCAGAATTAAAATAAGATTCAATATCCATTAAAAATATCAAATTGTAATACAATAGAAAATCCAGAGTGAAAACATGTAATAATAAGTTGTATAACCCATTTAAAGCAGTTCTGAACCTCAAAAGTCAACAACACAAAGAGAGTTAGTAAAAGGCAAATTGGAATTTATTCAGATTTTAAGGATTGTTTTAAAATTTGCACAATATGTTGGAAGGAAATTCTAGAAATGTAGGGTCATCATTAAGAAGTTGATTTTATTCACAGATATCTAATTTTGTAACTTAGTCTAAAAAACACTATCTGTCTGATAAATACCTGGGAATACATCCCACTGAATATAATGGGACTTAATATATACAGTAGCATCCAGAATTTCTTAGCAAACTTCAAACTTGACCAAAGACATGAGTATGTATATTCCACATCTAACTCCCAAGATCTTTTTCCTACATCCAGCATTCAGGTTCACAAGAGTAAAGAGACTGATATTTCTTTAGGTCTAATTATTTTCACTGAAGTAAATGTAAAAAAAACAGAAACAAAAACCAAAAAATAAAAATGAATTACAGTATTTATGGTTCACAAGTCATCTTTTATTTTTCTTCCAATTATACCAACTCTGACATATAAAACTTTTTTAAAAAAGAAGGGAAACATTGTTTTACAGAAATATACTGAATGATTCCCAAAATATATAGTTATGAAGCACCTTAAAATGAAATAGTATTGTAGATAAAATCAGATTTTCATGATTGCTGGAGAACAGAATTAGTGGAATACAGTAATTGAGGTATCATTATATTCTGTTCATCCCCAGAACTATCCTCTTTGTTGGTATAGATTTTACACAGTCACCAATTTACAATGCTGTCTTTTGTAACAACTGTCTGTGTCTATGGAACCTGCATCTGAGCTCCCAGAATACATTCTTTGTGTGTGTGTGTGTGTGTGTGAGAGAGAGAGAGACACACACAGAAATATTCTATTAATTCATGATAGAAAAAATGCACTGATGGAAGGATCCTTTTTTATTAGAGGAATTCCCCAATTTCTGATTATTTTTAGTGTAATAACGAAGTTCATCTGGCAGTTATACCTCTGGGCAAACCAGTGATCTATTAACAATAATTATGAAGCCTACCTGCATGAGCCAAGAAGTAAAATAATGAATCCCTACGGATATCTATCTTGACAGCTTATGTCAGAACAGCAATTATAATCTTTTAAAGCATTCTACAGAAACCCAGGCTAATGGGAGTAGCTTGTTCAAAGGAAACTTTGCACTAAGCAATGTAACCAAACACTGTAATATTAACAATGAGTTACTTAGAAAGAATTTAAACCATTTACTTGAACAAGTATAAACAACTTTATTTTATAAGGTTCAGTAAGATAGCTACTGTGTCTTACAACTTTAGTCTATTACTGGAAGAAACCTGGATGTCTACGCACATTGCAACAGTTCATTTTCCTTGCCTGTTATAAAGGGAGTATGAAAAAAGAATACAAGACCAATCCATTTATTAAAAGAATATTGTCTATCTATGGCTGAAATCATCATGGCCAGAGAAAAATTTTAACTCTCTCTGAAACACACTAGCATTATTTTAACACAGATTAAAATAAATGCAAGCAAACAAAGGAGGGAAAAAATATCTCAAGTGTCATACACAAAAAGCAAATGCTGAATCATCTATAGCCTTTCTCCAGTTAATCGGTGTTTTAAATCACTTTTTTCCTAACTTTGTAAACAACAGCAACTTTTAAACCAGATTTCCCACATTCTCAGTCCAGAACCTGGGGACATGGAGGGCCTTCTTTTCCATCATAAAATGATTTGACAGTTCTGTTAAAGTAGCTTTTAAAGGGCCTGTAGCCATGTTTGCCTCTCAGGAGCGACCTCTCTCCCCGACATTGCTGGCCTTGATCCCAGTCCACTTCGGCTTCGCCAAGCCCCTCAACAGCGGCTTACCTCTTCAGACCCCACCCCCACCAATCGATGATAAACGCTGCTCTGCGTCCTTCTGCCCTCAATAGTCCCGCACCCCATTTTTTGTCACCTGAGAGGGTTAACGGGCACCACTGGGTCCTACCCTTCCCCCTCTCATTATTCATCCCTTCTCACATTAGCACGTGAGGAAAGGCGCCGACCACTACATCCTCAGCTCATGCCATACCGCGCCCCTTCCGTGGATTCAAACTTCTGTGCAACAATTGAAGAAGAATAGAGGACAGACATCCTGTACCCCCGGCACCCACCCATCCAACTCGGTACCTGAAGCCACTCGGGCGAGAATCCACAGCTATGTCCGCTCAGATAACCCCTCACAGATTGGCTATTCTTTCAGCCTATCCACGAATACCAGCGTCTATTTGCACTGATTGACAGGAGTCTCGTATAATCATATCGATAACGTACAAGACATAAGGGCGAATACCGAGGAGAAAGGCGGAGCCTATGCAAATACGGAGGCGAGCCCCGCCGTCCTCCACTCCTTTTCTTCAGCTGACGCATGTTCCTCCATCAAGGGTTTTTTCTCACGTGTGCGGGAGCGGGCGCCATATTTGAATGCGGATGGTAACTAGTCCGGAGCGGGGAAGGGAGGGATTGGAATGTGGGATTGAAGCAGAGGCCGCGAGATGGGGAGAATTGCACTGCAGGGCATCTCTACGACGTGGAAGCGATCTACCGAAGCTGTTGCCTGTCGGGCGTTTATTACCTGCCAGGACGCTTGGATATCGGGAAAGGTGACCTCACCATGTAAGGGTCCGGTCACAGAGGAGTGCCGACGTCTTTGACGTCACGCATGCTGTCCTGGGGTCAAGTAACCCTCCCGGGTGGATGAGCTGCTGTAAGACCTGCAAAGGGGACGCCTGCGGGTGAAAGGAGAAGCGTCCGTCATGGAGCGAGATGGCCGCTGAGGAAAGGAGGGAGGGCGAACGGGAGTAGTCCTTTCACGGGGCGTGCACGTGCCATCCACCGGGTTGAGGTGAAGTTCAAAAGCCGGGATGGAGAGCCCCTTTTCTGGAACATTGTGCCTCAGAAGGACTGCGCTCTATTCAGGCAATTCAGGCTTTCTTTGTACTGTCCGAGGAAGTGTCCATTGCCTGATAGGAGCCTCTCATTTATCCATATAACAAATGTACCTGTGTGTGAAGTAGTTCTCGCTCAAAAATTACTTTTTTTCTCCTCCTTACTGCCCCCCCCTTCTCTGGTCATCTTTTTAATACTTTTTCAGTCACTTTCAAAAGCTCACGTTGTTTACATGCAAGAATTCCATAGTTGCCACCTATTTCATTGGGCTTCCCTGGCAGTGCCCTATTCAGATAGGACTAGACCTCACCCTACCTAGCCAAGAGAAGCTCAGCCTGGTATTGACACCTACTTCTTGTTTCTTCTATGTAAAATTTGAACTACACACTCTTTGGGACAAGAACTTTTTGTAAACAGCAAGGCATCATACACATATTTGCTAACTTATAAATGGTAGTAATAACAGTTGAGAGACTCAGGGTATTTCTCCATTTTCATCAAACCATGGCACATGCCCTGGCAGCCTTTTTTTTTTTTTTTGGTTATATCCTCAAGACATCTCATGCCCAGCCAATGAATGAGGCAGCTTTAAATTGTCTTTAACTCACCAATATTAATCTCTAAAGACAGTCTTAATGTGTATACAATCTTATTACAGCAGCTTTGTCATCCTTTATTTGTAGGAGACTATAATTTCAGACTATATAAGTAGGATAGGGGTTGATAACAGAAACATTAAATTTCATTCTGGTGTATTTTTCTGCTAGTTGAAGAATGAGTGGATAATACTTCAATTCAGCAAGGTAGGGCATTCATTTAATGTAAATAACAGAAACTAAGCTTATGGGGAATGTAAAGATCAGTGCAATCTTAAAGTTTTTAACCTGTGGGCAAATCCCATTGGCTAATTGGAACTTATTTTCCAATAGGCATGCAAAGAAGTAGATTCCTGGGAATTTGAGATAACCTGGCCCATTAGCAGATAGCAGTTTGTATAATTATTTTGGGCGTTAATATTAGAATTGTTCTAGTAGGATAAGTGCTATCAAAATGTAACAATTTTTGTTAGACCAATTCAGGTTGATGAAACCTCAATTAGTTTATTGATTTAAATTAGTCCAATAAAATATATTTTGCCTACTTATTTTAAATATTTTAAATAATTTGTTATTTAATATTTAATAGTATAATCCTGTACATATCTATTCAAAATTAAGCATTATTTCTTCAGTAAGATTTGGTCCCAGGGAAGTGTATATGTAATTGCAACATAATTGTAGATTCACCATTTCCACTCTGGAATTGTTAAGTAAATGCTCCAAAAGGGTCAGCCATGGTGGGCAAGTTACAGAAGAGAGATCACTGAAGAAAGAAATAGCAACCCACTCCAGTATTCTGCCAAGAAAACCAAAAAGATTCTCTCAGCCAGGACAAAGTTGACATGATAGTGAAATCTGAACTGCCCAGCCCCCAATTTGAAAGGCATCCAACAAGCTGCTGGGGAAGAGGGGAGGGCAAGTATGAGAAGCACTAGTGCTTTTAATGTGGCAGGATTAAAGCTGAAAGAACATCCAGCTGCTGTTGTAGCCAGAGACGAAAGGGAACTTGGATACTGCTAATATATATGTAAACCATTGGTATGTGGAATGTCAAATCCAGGAAACAAGACAAATTTGGTGTGGTCAAAGCAGAAATGTCAAGACTGAACACTAACATGGGAATCAGCAAACTAAAATGGAATGGAATGGATTGAAAGTCATCTTTTATGTTACTGAAATAAAGTATTGGCTATAAACATTTACTTTTCTTGCCAAAAACTATTAGCATGTCTGAGGAAACTGAGGAACATCAGTTTTTCTGCAGACCAAGAAAAGAGAGTACCCATTGTTAATAATAAAAGGATGCCAAAGTCAGTGCTTGGATACACTCCCAAAACTGATAGACTAATCTCAGTTCAAATCCAAGACAATGTTACAATTACTTGAGTCTAAACTCTAATCACAGATGCAGGGGAAGCAAAAACTCGACATTCTAGGATGACTTGTAAAGCTGTGTTGACATAACACCAAAATGTCACACTTATTATAGAAGATGGAATGCTAAACATGGTAAGTAAAATAGCAATTGGGATAACAAGTAATTCTGGCCCAGGTGTATGAAATTAGGAGGAGACATGCTAATAGTTTTTGGCAAGAAAAGTAAATGTTTATAGCCAATACTTTATTTTGGTAACATAAAAGATGACTTTCAAAGCCAAGACAGAAGGACAACACCAAAATTAAATTGTCTATACTCTGCAAGCAAAGATGGAGAAGCTCTGGTGCTGACTGCAGCTCAGATTGCAAACATCTTGCAAAATTATGGCTTAAACTAAAGAAAACAAATACAGTCATGAAACCAATAAGATACAACTTCAGCAGCATTCTATATGATTATGCATGAAAATAACAGATTGAATGGATTAGATTTGATAAATAGAATGCCTAAAGAACACGAGACTGAATTTTGTGACATTAAAGTTAAAGCAAACAAAAAGTTCCCAAAATGCAAAAAGCAAAAGAAGGAGAAATGGATGCCCGCTGATATGTTGAAGATGGCTGAAGAAAGGCAGAAAGCAAAAAACAACAGAAGCAGAGGAAAATATGCCTAACACTGAATTTCAGAGAACAGCAATAGACAAGGAATTACAAATAATTGATACAAAGATATTAAGGATAACAATTGAATAGAAAAGGCAAGAGTTTTACAGATAGTCCTTAGCTAACAATGGTAATTGGGACTGGAACTGCTGTTGCTAAGTGATGCAGTCATGAAATGCAGCATCATGCGACCGTGCTGCTTAGTGATGGCAATTTTGGCAGTCCCAGTTGCTGCTGTTAAGTGAGGACCTCACATGACTGCAGCTTCCAACTTCCTGCCAGCTTCCCCATAGACTGTGCTTGTGGGAAACTGGCAGGGAATGTCAGAAATTGCAATCATGTGACTGCGAGGACGCTGCGATGGCCAGAACTCTGAGGACAGGTTGCTGTCATAACTTTGAATGGTCGCTGAATGAATGGTGGTAAGCTGAGGATTACCTGTATTTAAGAAAATTATAGAAATCAATATAACCTTTTATGTAACGATGGACACAAAGACAAAGCAAAGATTTACTGAAGAAAGAAGATGGTATAAATATACAGAAGAACTGTATTAAAAAGGGTCTGAAATCTCTGATGTGTATTAAAAGTTGCTCACTGAACTAGAGCAGCCATTCTGGAAAATGAGTTAAAAGGCCCCTAGAAAATACTGTTAACAGTAAAGTTTCAGGAGTTGATGAAATAGCAAAATTGTTTTAAATATTTTTAAGATAGTATAGTGCTACACGTGGTTTCTAAGCAGGTATAGAAAACAGCAGCAGCCAAGGGACTGAAAAAGGTTATATTCCAATACCAAAAAAGGGCAATGCTAGGAATGAAGTACCAAGGAATTGTATTTATCTCACATGCTAATAAGATTTTGCAATCCTGACTTCAATAATATATAACAAGAACTGTCAGACATAACAAGCTGGATTCAGAAAAAACAGAGACATCCCAGATCAAGTTGCTAGGATCCAATGAATGATAGAAAAGTCAAATTATATGTAAGATATCTGTTTTTGCTTTACTGGTTATACAAAGACCACAACAAATTGTGGATAGCCCTTAAAACATTGGTTTACTGGGCCATTTCATCTGTCTATTGAAAAATGTAAATGATGACCCAGAAGCAGCAGCAGCAACAACAAAATAACTGAGTGGTTCAGAACTGAGAAAGGAATGTGCCAGGCTGTACATTGTTCCATAATGTATTTAAACTTATCTGCAGAATATATCATGAGAAGTGCTAGGATAGAAGTAAAAGAAATTGAAATTAAAATTGCTGGAGAAACATTAAAATTGCAGGAAGAAACATAAGCAACCTCATATATACTGGCGATACCACTGATTGATTAAGGAATTTCTTGTTGAAGGTAAAGGAAGAGTGTGCAAAAGCTGGTCTACTGCTCAATATTTTAAAAAGATTATGTCAACAGGCAATGCCAGCCCATTGCAAATAAAGAAGTCAAATTAGTTACAGACTTATCTTCCTAGTCTCAAAAATTCATAGGGATGGTGACTGTAGGCATTAAATAAAGAATTGTCTGTTACTTGTAAGAAAGAGTAGGAGAAATTTAGACAAAATTGGCAACAAAAGTACATATTGTCAAGGCAACACTTCTCCCTATTTTGGCATATATCTGTGAAAGCTGGCCATCAGGAAGGCTAAAAAATGAAAAACTGATGAGAGTATCTTAAAGAGCAAGAAGAAATAATTCAGTACTAAGTGAAGCAAAACTAGACTGCTCATTAGGTATATAAGTTCATTACCTGTCAGATCTATTGATTTGTATGAATAAATGGGCAAAAATATAAACGGGACCACAGATGCTAAAGTTTAAACCTTTGCAATATTAAGATATTACTTTTTTCATATGGAAATATATACTGTCAGGTATATTTTAAAATTTGTTTTGATTTCTAATTAAACATAGTACAAACAATATTTCTGTTTCAGATGATATGTCCAAGAGCCTGGCAGATTGTGATACAGAAAGTGAATGTGATTTTTATTCTGACTGTTGGGAAGGAAGTGTTATACATAACAAAGGTAAACTGGATGCCAGACAATAAGGAAGTTTTTTGGTATTTTCACTGTTTCTTCTAAATTACTAAATCTATTATTTTTAGTACAGGTAGTTTGCATTTTAGTTATAGTGATGAATTTTGTAAACAACAACACTTAGAAAGCAAAAATCTCTGTTTTTTCCCTTGATTTCTCCTAGATTTGACTGACTCCAGCACTGAAAGTTATTTCTGTTTTGATTCATGCAGCTTGTTTGAAAAAGAAAAAGGGGAAAACAAATTGGATGGCATAGTGCTTATTTTGGAAAATAGCCAAGCGAGCAGTACAAGTTTTTGCAAGGACCACCCTTCTCTGCAAGGAGAAAAAGTAGAGTGTACTAGTAAATTGCAGGAGGAATTATCACTGGAATCTATATTGTATCTAAAGTGTAAGGATTCTAATACAGATGCCCATTCACTGAAATCTTTTTCAACCAAAATAGTTCCATTCATATACAGCAGCTCTTATGGAGACCATTTGTGTTTAAATAAAGCAATCCCTCAGTTGCTCATTACTGAAAATTCAACTGAAGGACAAATCATTTATACAGTGAAAGAAGCTTATGCTTTTGATAAATTCCATCAGAGGCAGTCCTCAGATGGTAACTCTCTAGCTTCAAAGCAAAATAAAGCTGTGCAGGTTTCTTCTACAGAAATAAAACCCGAGGACAATATTTGCTATGAATGTTTCAAACAGTCACCAGTATCTACTGAGGTAAATAAAGAACTGAAGAAACCGGCAAACGTTCAGAGTTTTGAAAGTCATTTTGTAAGCAGCCACTCAGATTACTCCTCAGAATATTCTTACCAAATTGAAAATCCCCAGACTGCTGAGCAAATCTCACATTCCAGTTCAGAAGAGCCTACTATTTCTTTGACGTTGAAAGCAGCTTACGTATATCCAGCCGGTTCATTAGCAAGTGACACTGATCCTTCAGACGTGACGATAGATGAAGATTCCCAGAGGCATGCTTTAGCTTTCCAATTTAAAGATTCTGAACATAACCAACCATTTAAGAAGTTGCATCTTACTGTTGTTCCACAAAAACAAACCACAAAATTTAAAAAGCAGGTAGGACTTTCTGAAATTCTAATCGATGAAGCCAGTTATCATCTAGGAACTCACTCAGAATCATCAGAAACCAGTACTTCCAAAGTATATTCTGATCAAGCATTATCTACATCAAATCTTTGGTCCTCATATTGGCCTTTCCCACCCTCTAAATATACACATGCAAATCAGTTGCCTCAGTTTTATGTTAGGTCATTGTCCCCAAATCCAGTTAAACCTGCTTTTCAAAAAAGAAAACCAAAAATTTCCAAATCTGTAAAATCTGTTGTGTTTGCCAAACACAAAACATTGCAAAGAGACCAAAAATGTAAAAGTAAGCCATCTATCTTCTCCAAATTTCATTCACCCAAAAGACTGGACGTTGAGCCTACAGACAGAAATAAAAGAGAAGAAGCAAGAATAAATGAGCAATATGTGCCTGTAAATCAAACATCTAAATGCCATTGCAGCCCATTGCTTGACTTAACGGTTGATCTGCATTCTGAAGATAGAAATTCTGAGAAGTTCCTAACTCTTCACAGAAGCTCCCACAAACGAACTCGAGCTGGCAAAGTCATTCATAAATTTTCCTCCCATTATTTGCTAAATCCTAAAAATAGTTTTGAAAGGCTTCGTTATATTTCTCCAATTAGAAAAAAAAATAATTTGAAGATGCAAAACATACTGAATTATTTTTTAGGCTGGACTGGCAGGCAGAACAGAGATGAAAAATATAGAGAGGATATTTCTCCCACTTCAAAGTTAAGAGCAAATGAGACTTTCATTTCACATATGCCAGCTGACAAAAGGAGTTCAACTGTTCCACTTCATCCACATTCAAAGAATTATTCTGTTCCATTTCCTACCACGTTGCCTTTTGCAGGTGAGAAGCATTCACCAGTTCCCTCTTTGCAAACTGGAAGGAGGAAAGCATTGTATATTTTTCCAAATGAATGTAAGCATTCATCTGGTCCCTGTGTGGAAATGGAGAGGGATCCTTGGAATCATGTGGAATCTTATGCTCATGGTAAACATAGCACCTCTCATTCTCCTTGTTGTGCAAATACTAAAGTGGAACAGCTACCAAAGAAATTAAATATGTTTAATACAGGTGTGGACAAACTGAATTTTGGAGCTGGTCAGATAGCAGGTGGAGGTTTGGCCCTGAAGAAATTCTCAGTCTGCCCCTGTGGATCTATGTCACAAAGTGGTTTGTTTCCTAACACAGATATTTCAGAATCAGGTAGGAGGAAAACTAGAGCAAGCCCAGATAGTAACTGGAGAGCCAGTAAGACTGACTCAAACCGATGGAATTCACTTGCAGGAACCCTCAGCACAGAGGAAGTGTGCTGTAGTTGTCATCATGTCTCCCCAACTTGTTCTTTGCACAATTCATGTAAACACGAAGCTCCAAGAAACCAGGTTATTAAAGTGGCATCTTTATTTGAAAATGGATTTCCCATGAGGAATTTGAAGGAGAATGTAGAAAAAAGCAAAACAGTGGAAACAGGTGAAAGAAAAGTCAAATTTCATTTAGGATCAAATGCTTTACAAGAGACTGACCCTTTAACCACACACATTTCATCACCAACTAATGAATATAATCAAATACCAAAACATTTTGTTTATCAACCTGAATGCTCATGCTGTCAGACTGCTGTTAAAGAACATCTCAGCACGTCAAAAGAAGTGTCTAATTGCTTTGGTTCAGAAAACTACATGCCAAAGAACTACCTCAACAGAGAGAGTATTTTTCTAGTGGATTCTAATCGGAGAATTAGAAGTCAGTGTAAATGCTCCCATGAAATCTCTCTCTTCAACCCTGAGCAAAGTGAGGCATATAAAGGAAATAGATCTAAAGTTTTGAAGAGGAAGGATCCCAAACTTATTCAGGTTTGTATTTTGTCAAGTGAACACCAATATATATGACTTAATCAGAAATATTAATGCTGCAATATGCATTTACTTGGGAATTAGCCCAATTTTTTTTAATTTAAGACATATATATAAACTTTTAGAAGAAGAATTCTTATTTAACTTTTGATTCTCAGAAAAAACAGGTAGTACTTTTAGAAGTTTTATTTATATGGTTGTGTTCTTGATAAGCAATAGTCAGAATGCAGTATAATACAAATTCTCTAAATCTTAATTACCATTATTGTCCCAAGAGATTTTGCATGTATATTGAGAAAATGCTTTCCTAAAATATGTTGTCCAGTATTAGGAGAAACAGGTAGGTAACTATAGGATCATCTTCATCATCATCATCCTCTCTCACCCCTATGGGTGTTATGTAGCTTCCTGCATCTCGGGTCCTCTACCAGACGCCTGGGAATTTGGGGGTTCTGTGCAGTATCTTAGCTGTCCTAGCACTGCACTCTTCTGGACAGAGAGCTCTGATGTTGTTTCTGGGATCTGTTGGAGCCACTGTCCCAGCTTAAGAGTCATAGCCCCGAGTGCTCCTACCACCACTGGGACCACTTTGGCCTTTACTTTCCA